ACAAACTAACTTTCAACGATTCTGGTGACTTTCGTATATCAAGCATTTTTCCAGCAATTCCACGACGTTGATATTTGGTGGCCACGCTAAGAAGATCCCTACAAGCAGAAATTAAGAACAAACGTAGAAAAAAAATATTGCAGTAACACTGACAATTCGAGAACAGTAGTCACTTCTGGAAGCAACTGCCAAATTGAATGATGTATATCTTCACATATTGCTCCTGAAAATACAGAAAATAAATTGCTGATATCCAACAAGACTTACATACAAGGTCTTTTTCAATAAGAATTTGCACCTAATCAGCTTTTTAAAGATGCATAACGAACGTAGACAAGTAAACCATTTTCGAACTTTCCAGCATCAAACATAGTAAAACCTGATGATAACAGAAACCTAATTTGTAAGACAGTTTTATCAAAGCTCGGATATTTCTACATCTTATCCTCCAAATTGTGCATTAATCAACGTTAATTAGATTCAGCTTACCAATGGCAGCTATTTCCTGCCTTTGTGGGGATCCAAGCGGATCCACAAATTCCGGATCATCTCGGCGATAGATTGTGCTTACAGCCACACCAACGAGATTACCAAAGCCTGCAAGTGGGTGTTAGCAAACCTGCTTTCAATACTGAAGTTGAATAAATCAGAATATGCTTATTCACCATTACGACAAAGGACAGTGAATGGTGTTGGCAGCGCCAAATCAAGAACTTTGTCAGCAAATGGAGCAAATTCTTCTTCGGTGATAGCCGTTGCCTGTAGCAAACATTTGATTGGTCAAAATCTAGTACAACTATACTAAACAAGCTTTATTCTATTTTCGTGATTAAACTTTGAAGAACTTTAAGCTTACAATCAGTTTCGTATCTAGACTCACCACATTCATGGTTTCTTCTTTGAGAAAATGCTTCATTAAAAATGCTCGAATCTCTTTTCGGTTATCCTCGGTTGCTATAGAATATTCTAAAATGTCCATGTTGTTCTGAAAGGAGATGCCTTTAGGTTAAGTACATCCAAAAAGTATGGATGAATTTGAATCTGGTAGAATTTTGAGAGATCAAATTTAAAATTGACAGCATTTTCTCGAAACATTCTATTGATCAAAACAATTTCTCAAGTGTAACAAGTTATGAAAATGACAGTTGTCATTTCATACACATTTCCGCTATGAGATTACTCCTTGTACAAGCAGTCTTCTCGCTTTACG